CTTTTCCAGTGTTAGCCTTGAGAGTCTCACAACTCAGGCAACCCCTCTGTCCCAGGTAAACTTGAGCCAGAATGTACAATTGAAGGTTCGACTTTTGTTTATCTAAATTTATTAGGCTCAAGGATGTCCAGTTGATGGCCAAATTTTAATTAAAATGGCACCTACACTGTTCAACTTCTGGTTTCTGGGTTTGACAACATTTGACACACGAACATATATACAGAAACACAAATACCAAAAGTATATGCTCAAATGTTAAGCGTGTCATAACAAGTGAAATCCCCCTCCTGGTCAAGAATTTCAGTTTCACCACAGTTTACTTGGGAGTTTTCTTTCCTTTGCGCATTGAGGAGTCATGGCTTTGCCAGCTCCTCTCCTAACCCCCCAACTTAGCAGCCTTTCCATGGAAAGACATTCCTTCTGACCTTGGTCTTTTGAGATAGAAAGAATAAATCGTAAGAGGCAGGGCAGGTGTGGTGGTTCACGCCTGTATTCCCAGCACTTTGGGAGGCCAAGGCGAGCAAAGCACTTGAGGTAAGGAGTTCAAGATCAGCCTGGCCAACATGGCAAAACCCCGTCTCTACTAAAAATACAAAAATTAGCTGGGTGTGGTGGTGTGCACCTGTAATCCCAGCTACTCAGAAGGCTGAGGCATGACAATCACTTGAACCTGGGAGGTTGAGGTTGCAGTGAGCCAACACTGGGCCACTGCACTCCATTTTGGGCAATAGAGCAAGACTCTGTCTCAAAAAAAAAAAAAAAAAAATTGCAAGAAGCTCCTTTCACAGACTCACCACATTGACCCCATTTTTCTCCTTCTGCCATTCTTCCCCCCACTCCATTTGCATGCAATGTTGAAGAACTGATCTAGGGAAGATTTGTGCACTTTCAAGAGGCTGGGTCCACTGAGGTCAGCTCCAATTAAATTATGTCTTCAATATGTTTAACTCAGACTCTGGATTTTTGTAGTCCTAGAGACCAGTATAAATAAATTTATTAAGTATGTGATCTCATCACTAAAGATTCACTCAGCCCCTTGACTTCCAAATTAGAGGACACATTTCAGGAGTTGGGTCAGAATTCTATCTTCACAATTCTGGGGTTAGAATAAGGCAATATTATCCAGGTGTGCTTTATGGCAAGACATGCCTGAATTTTAATTAACACCTGGCAGTATGGGCTTGGGCATATTCCCTATCAATGATGGGTATGAATGAAAGGAATCAAGGATTCAGACCTGAGGAACTAAAGTAGCCAACTGAGATGGTAAAGGCTGTAGGTAGAGCAGGTTGAGGATGAAAGATCAAAAGTTCAGCATAGGATATGTTAAGGAGAGAGTTCTAAGTTGGAAATAGAAGTTTGGGAGTCACTGGTATATCAATGGTATTTAAAGCTCTGACTAGATGAGATCACCACGGAAGTGACAGCAGAGAGAGAAATGTCTATATGGCCACGCCTGCACTATTCTAGGAAGAAGTTGGCTGACCAGTATTCCCTCCAGAGCCTCCTGTCTGCCTGCGTTCAATAGATCCATCACAGCAGAAGGTTCCATGCCCATACATGGGGAGGTAGTAAGTGCAGAGCAAGGAATCTCAGGTTTGGAGACAGAAGAGGGCCTGGAGGGCCAGGCATGGTGGTTATGCTTATAATTCCAGCACTTTGGGAGGCCAAAGCAGGCAGATCACTTGAGGTCAGGAGTTCAAGACCAGCCTGGCCAACATGGAGAAACCCCATCTCTATCAAACAAAACAAAACAAAACAAAACAAAAATTACCTGGGAGTGGTGGTACGCGCCTGTAATCCCAGCTACTCAGGAGACTGAGGCACAGGAATTGCTTGAACCAGGAAGTGGAGGTGGCAGTAAGCAGAGATTGCACCACTGCACTCCAGCCTGGGCGACAGAGGGAGACTCTGTCTCAAAAAAAAAAAAAAAAAAAAAAAAAAAAAAAAAAAAAAAAGAGGCAGAGGGCCTGGAGCTCAGTTCACCTCTGCCACTTCTGGCTCTGGGCTACGTTATTTTGGGAAAATCACTTAATCTCAGTGAACTGCACTTTCTTCACCTGTAAATTGGAGATAACATTGCCTCCCTCGATGACTGCTCATTTGCATAGCTATAACAAAATACCACGTACTGGGTGGCTTACACAACAAACATCTATTTCTTATAGTCTTAGAGGCTGAGAAGTCCAAGACCAAAGTCACAGCAGATTTGGTGTCTGGTGGGGGCCTACTTCCTGGTTCACAGATGTCCATCTTCTCACTGGGGTCAGGGGACTCTCTGAGGTCTCTTTCACAAGGGCACTAATCCCATCTATGTGGCTCCACTCCCATAACCTAATCACTTTCCAAAAGACCCTCCCCCTAATACCACTATACTGGGGCCAAGGATCTCAACCTATTAATTTGGGGGGGCGAGTGGGACACAAACATTCAGTTTGTAACCCTCCCTTACAGAATACCTGTGAGTGTTAAATAAATTGAACAAAAATACTTTGTAAAATACTTTATACATCATTATCATTGATCCCACTATAATCTCTGATAATTTCAGGGAGAAAATGCTTTAGTGATTAAAGTTTAGAACAGTATCTACCAATGTTAAAAATCCATATACCATACCCTTCAATGCAGCCATTCCAACTCTCCTACAGATATAGTTGTACACGTATAAAGATAAACGTGCTAGACATTGGTAATGATAATGAGAAACTGGAAACAATGTATATCAGTAATGGATTGGGTAAATAAGCCATATATATTCACACTGTGGAATACCAGTTGCTAAATATAATGAGAAAACGTGCATATAAAGACATGAAAAGATGCCTAGGATATTTAAAGAAATAATAAGCAAGTTGCAGATGTCTCCATGGCATGATCCCATTTCTATTTTACATTTATATGTATTTATATTACACATTTTGATACAAGAATATCAAAAACACTGAAGGCCATACATGACACCAGAGAATAGTCACTAGGGTCTCTGTGCATGTCACTTACCTCTGGTAAAAGTAACTGGTGTTGCAGAGAATTACTTTCACTTCCTCCTTTTACACTTAGGAATTGTTTGAATTTGTGTAACAAACAAAATATATTTAAAGACATACCACAAACCAATCCCTGAGCCCTGAGGTTCTTAAGAGGGTGGGGGCACCAGGAACATAAATCATACTTTCAGGCCAGAAAACCATGCCTCTGCTGGGTTCCCAACTATATTTCAATCCTGCAAGCCACAGCTGTGCTTCCCACCAACCCAGGCACTAACACAGTAGCAGCAGCCCAGAAAGGGGAAAACATAGGCCCGAGAGAAGGGCCTCTTTGGGTAGGAAAAAGAAAATGCAAATGTATTCTGAAAGCAGATGGTGTCTGGAAGAGAAAGTGTGTTTGGCAACAAGAAGGGAATCACAGGGGAAGGAGAGAAAAGCAGCAAAAGAGAGACAGCCAAAGGAGGTGGTAATTAAGTGCAAAGCTGAAGATTTCCAAGGGATTTTTCAGCGTTGGCAAGAGTCAGGCCTCTGGACGATTCTGTCGAAGTGTATAGAGCTTGTTTTTCATTTCTTTTCTTTATTAAAAGTATTCCACTAGAACAGTACCTCTGAACCATGATATTCTAACATGAGTTTGTGAGCAATGCTCCAAATATTAAAGTTTTCCAATAATTTACTTTTCTTTATAAAGAGGAGCTGAGGTTGGCTGCCTCCTCACTGCCATTCTGATACACTTTCTGGGGTGGGAGAGACAAAGCCACCACCAGCCAGGGGTGAGCGAGTTGTGTACAACCCACACACTATTTTTCTTGCCACCTCCTGACACTGTCACTCTTCTCGGGGCTCTGGAGCTTCCTGTGGGGTCATTGTCTGTAACAGACAAGAGTCACGCCCTTCTCAACCCTTTTACAGCATTAACCAAGGCACAAACGTCTGAAATATCCAATAACAAAGAGATTAATTGATGATTTGTTTTGTACCAAATTGCTTGCTGCCACAGCTGCTCCAAATGTTAATAAGCACTGCTGAACTATGGCCGCTGCAGCAGGGAACAGCTGTAGAGGCTAGAGGCCAGCTCCCCTGCCCAGTGAGGGACAGATGTCTTTATGTCTATATCAACCCCTCCGCTCACACCAGCAACAGTTCACAGACAGGACTATGAAGGATAGGTTTTGCATTTGGTCCTAAGTAACCTTTTAATGTCACATAACCTGAGCCAAAGCCAGGAATACATTATGACAGTCCAAATTACCAACTCTCTCTTTGGGATAAGATGTATATTATGCACTAAACTGAAGGTCAGGAGACAAGTCTTCTGCTCCAGACATGATCAAAACCTTTCTGGGTCTTATAAAATGGGGCTTGTGATTCAAGTCTACTTTCAACAGGAAGCTTTTGGATTAAATGAGCTCAAACATTGCATGTAAAGGGCTGAGACTGCAGATACTTATATAATCTCAAGTTTAAGCTCACATTTTATATATACTATATAGTATATATAAAGTGATGTATGTATATACATACATATATAATGTATATATAATATATATATAATGTGGGTGTATGTATGCGTGTGTGTATACATATATATGGAATAGTAAATTAGATAGTCTTTTCCATATTCCACTTATACCTTACTTACACCCCTTGAAGGTAGAGTTCACTTGTAAATATGTCAGCTGCCTCTCCCAGATAAGGACATTTTGTTAACATGACTACAATGACTTTATCATGCATAACAACATTAACAAGTCCTTGACATCATTTAATTCTCAGTTCATATAAACTTTCCCCAATGACTCAAAATGTGTTTTTACAATTGGTTCATTTGAACCAGAATACAAACGAGGTCCATTCATTGCATTTTACACACACACACACAGTCACTCATACACACTTATGTATTTTTCTCTAGCTCTATCCACTAGAAGTGTAAAGGGCTGGGAGCAATAATGCCCTAATGGTAATGACACCTGATCTTGATTTCTAAATACTATTCTTTACTAAAAGGAATCAGGACTTGGAGAAACGTCTGTTTCAAGAGTTGGGGTAAAAAGAACACCAGATATGCCCGAGACATGCTGAGCCAGAAAGCAAGGATACACTCAAAGAAAGATGGGGTGTGCCAAGTGGACAGAGAAGCCAGATTGTTGGAGGCTGACATCGCTAATCTAAGAAATGTGAGCATCAAAATCCATACTGATGGAAACAAATTATCTACAACTTGCTGAATAAAATGAGAATCCATGAATCCGACTGATGTAAATAAATGAATAAAATGAATGTTTGACAAGAAACAGGATATTTAAAGATTTTCAAAGTATCTCCTCATAAAATACTTGTTAGTAACAAAGAGAAGAGAAACTTGGCAGTAAAGGTGGCTGACAGGCACTGCCTTAATCAACTGATCAAGGTGAACCTCATCAGAGATGGGATACACCAAAAAGTTGTTTCACTTGACAATAAAATGCAAAAGGAACAACACAGCCTCAGTTCTGTGATATTCTTTCCAAAACTGCACAACCTGAAGCTCATCACAAGGAAACCAAGCAAATCAAAATGGAAGGACAGACTACAAAGTAACTGACCTATAATCATCAAAAGTGTCAAGGTCGTGAAAGTCAGTGATTGAGAAACTGTTCCAGAATGAAAAAGACTGAAGAAACTTAGCAAATAAATGCATCACGTGCATTTATTTGCATCACCCTATTTGCAAAAATAGGGTCCGTTGGCTCTAAAGGATGTTATTGGAACAACTGGTTTATCAGTTGTTAAATTTCTTAATATTAATTGGAGCATGGTTATCTAAGAGAGTGTCCTTGTTTGTAGGAAATGCACACTGAAGTGTTCAGGAATGATGGGACATCATGTTGGTAACTGACCCTCAAATGGCTCCGGAGGAAAAAAGTAGTTTCTTATGTCCTACGCTGACATCTTCAGTAACTTTTAAAATCAGAAAAAAATGCAATAAAAAGAATAACCTGCCTCATCAGTTATTTTCCCCTATATTCATAGAGAAAAATCAGATTAACTTCTGGATTCTGAAGCTTCATTAATTTCCAGAATAATGAGTTGGTGCCATAGAAATTTACAATGATAACAGTTTTCTAACATATCAGTATGAGCTCAGATATTTTTATGTTTGATATGCTTCAGTCAATTGCAGTGATGATTCTTTTTGATTCTCGCAATTGTTTCTGTTCCATTCCCACAACTCTGGTAGTCAATCATTTTCTTTCTTCCTGAACATAACAAAATGTTCCAGGTTCATCATTTACATTTCCTACCCCAAATCTAGAATCAGTTTTTAGACCTTGAAAAACTCAGAGGAGAATTCCTTCCCTTTTAAACTAACTTAATTAATTCCTCTTTAAAAAAAAATAGAGGGGCCTGGTGGCTCATACCTGTAGTCCCAGCTACTCTGGGAGGATTGCTTGAGCCCGGGAGTTTGAGGCCAGCCTGGGAAACAAAGAGACTGGGAGATAAAAATTTAGAACACCATATATTCTCAACTTCCTTGAAATTTGTTCCTTTTTTTCCCCCTCAAATATCCAACTAGTTCTGGACTCCTTCCAAGAGGAATAGAACACAGAAAAGAGCTTACTCTAAGTCAACTTCTGTGGGCATGACAACCACCTGCTTCTTCGTGTGGGGAGAAGCTGGTGGAGGACACATCTAATTCTTTTATTAACTCTCTTGAATCAGAAATGACAGACAGTGTTTAAATTTTATAACTTTTCTCATTGCAAGCACTGAGAGGTGTGAGTTGACTCACTGGATCAATGAGTTGACTCATTTATTTCCTCAGTAAAAAATATTTACAAGTAGTAAGCGGGACAATTTTCAGAAACCTCTCATCCTAAAATGCAAGCTGGCCAGGGGTGCATTGTTCATTCCAGCCTCCCAGTGATCAAGTGAGGTCTTCATTATTTTGATGGAAAGAAGGCGAAAACAAAATCCACTCACCGATGACAGAGAGAATTCACTTACTCGTTCACGCACCCATTTTAGTGGGAATCCACTACAAGCTGTTCTCAGTACTGAGGACACGGCAGGAACACGGAGAATAAACTGCTTCCTCTGTGGAGTTTACATTCTAATGGAGGAAACAGACCCTAGCAAGATAGATAAGTAAATTATAAAGTGCAGGAAAAACAAAGCATACAAAAAAATGCAAGGGAGATACAATTTAAATAAAAGGTTTTGAGGTGAGGCCCACTAAAAAGGTGACATTTGAACAAACACGTGGAGGAGGTGACACAGCAAGCCATGTGGTTTTCTAGAGGGAGAGAGTTCCAGGCAGAGGAAACAGCTTGTGTGAAGAGCTTGACGTGTGAAAGTGCTTTGAATATTTGTGAAATCATAAGGAGGCTGCTGTGGCTGGGTGGTTCATGCAAGATGAAGAGAGAAGGCCAAAGACAGAATGTGAGGGCTGGGGACACAGAGCACCTAGCGCCTTGTAGGCCATTTTAAGGATTTGGAGTTTCGCTCCCAATGACATGGAAATTTGTCTCTGGTTTTTGAACAGAGAAATGACTTTATCCAACTTATTTTTCAATGAGATCACTTTGGCTGCTGTGTTGGGTATAGAATAAAAGGAAGTCAGACAGACACAAAGACACCAGTTAGAAAGCGACTGTAATAGTCTAGGGGAAGCAGTGGTTACTAAGACAGGGCAGTAACAGTGAAGGAGGAGAAAAGTTGTCACATTATTAATACCTTTTAAAAGTAGAGCCAACAGGATTTGCTGAAAGACTAGATATAGGTGCAAAAAGAAGAGAGGAGTCAAGGGTAATCCGTAGAGTTTTTGCCTGAGCAATTTGAAGGGCAGAGGTTCCACCCACTGACATGGAGAAGAATGTGAGAGAAGCAGGTTTTGGGGAAGTTGCTGAAGAGCTCAGTTTTGGACAAAGTAGGTTGGAGATGTCTACCAAACATCCAAGCGGAGATGCCAAGTACGTGGCTGAATATATAGTTCTGGAGTTCAGGAGAATGCTCTAGTCTAGAGACATATATTTGGCCATTGCTGTAGGCAGAACAATGTCCTTCCAAACGATGCTCATGGGCTAATCCTCAAAATCTGTGAACATATTTCCTTACATGGCAAAAAAAAGGGCTTTGCTGATGTGATTAAGGGGATGGACCTTGAGATGGGTGATTATCCTGGATTATCTGGGCAGGCCCAGTGGAATCAAATGGGTCCTTACAAGCAGAGAACTCTTCCTGCTGTGGCCAAAGAAGGCTCCGAGAGAGAACATTTTGCGGGCTTTGAAAATAGAGGAAGTAGCCACAAGCTCAGAAATGCAGGTAGCACCTAGAAGCTGAAAAAGGCAAGGAAACAGATTCTTCCCTAGAACCTCTAGAAAGGAAGGCAGCCCCGCTGACCAGCTGATTTCAAGTTAGTGAGACCCATGTCAGACAGTTGACCTAAAAACTGCAAAATGAATTCACGTTGTTTTAGGCCACTATAGACAATTAATGCCAACATCATCAATATAGAGACGATATTTAAATCCATAAGAGTGGAATGATTAGAGACAGAGGGAGAAGATGTCTTGAGACTGAGCCTTGGGGTATTTGAATGTTAAGTCAGGGAAATGAGGACCCAACAGGGACGACTGAGAAGCAGGGGACACAAGACAGGAGAGAAACAGGAGAGAATGGTGTTCTAGAGGTCAAGAATCTGTGTCGCCTGCTGCTACATGGTTACATGAAATGGAGATCAAATTAGGAAACAAAGACAGAACAGGGACAGCATATATGCTCAGGCCAGCTGCTACAGAGAAGGAAGAATGCGGACCCTGGTACTTACTACAGGAGAGACAGGCAGGGTACAGTGGCTCATACCTATAACCCCAGCACTCTGGAAGGCTGAGATGATAGGAGGATTGCCTGAGTCCACGAGTTCAAAACCAGCCTGGGCAACAGGGCAAGATCCCCATCCCTAAAAAAAAAAAAAAAAAAAAAAAATACAAAAATTAGCTGGGGGTGGTGGCACACAACTGTAGTCCCAGCTACTAGGGAGGCTGAGATGAGAGGATTGCTTGAGCCTGGAGGTTGAGGCTGCAGTGAGCTGTGATTGCACCACTGCCTGCCAGCCTGAGCAACGGAGGGATACCTTGTCTCAAAACAAAACAAAACAAACACCCACGGAAGAAACACATGAATGGCACACACTCAGAGTGCTGACTTTTTTTATACACAGGGACTCTGGTCACTAGGAAACTTGGCCCAACTAGAATACTGGAATATTTCCAAACACATTGGTACTCTCTCCCCTTGAGGAGGGAGGGTGCGAAAGTCAGTAGTAGAACAGGAAAGAAGAGAAAAGAGAAACAGAATCAACTTTCAACTTTCTCTTACATTATCCCCTTTCCTTTTACCACCCAACATAGTCTTAGCTCTCCAAGGCCCTCACTTGATAAATGTCGTATTCCCTAAGCCCTAGGAAGTTAACATAACAGCTCAAGACCAGAATATCATTTTCTCTTAAAAGAAAGTATGATCTAATCCAAATTAAAATACATAACCTTCCATTACCTGGCATTTGACGTCAAGCATAGCTTCAGACAAGGTTTTATGTTTTGCCTTTCTTCGCCTCGAAACTCAAAAGCTAATTGATCATCTATGAGAGACTGAAGTCAGGTAAGGAGAACCCTTGTGACTTCAGACAAATACAGCCCTTATCACACTGTCTCACAATGACTTGTAGTTGTTTGTGTACCTGTTCATCTTCTTCACCAGATTTGAGTCCTTAGAGAGGGGAGACTGTGCCTTTTCATCACTGAATTACAAGAAAAATAATTCACAAACTGCCCATTCATTGAACTTGTCATACGTGTCAGACATGGAGCTAATTGCTTTCAGGCATTTAATTGTCAGACAACTCTGTGAGATGAGCATTATTTATTCCATTTTGCAGGAAGGTTAAGAAATTTACATAATAGTCATATTAAATGGGAGGGTGACAGAGCAGTCCAATGCCCCAATCTGTGCTGAATGATGGCCCCACAAAGATGTCCACATCCTCATTCCGGGAACCCATGAATGCTACTTAATATGGAAAATGGGACTTTGCAGATGTGATTAAATTACAGATTTTTGAGATGGGAAGTTTATTCTGGATTATCCAAGCAGGCTCAATGTAATCACAAGGGTCCTGAGTGGGAGGCAGGAGGTCAGGTTGAGCAGGAGGATATGCGAAGAGAGAAGCAAAAGTTGAAGTGATGATGAAGGGGTCATGAGCCAAGGAATGCAGATGGTTTCAAGAAGCCACAAAAGGCCAGGAAACACGTTCTTCCCTAGAACCTCCAGAAAGGAACAGAAACAGTCCTGCCAACATCTTGATTTTAGATTTCTGGACTTCAGAACAGTCAGATAAGAAATATGTGTTGTTTTAAGCCACTGAGTTCATGGGAATATGTTACAGCATCGATAGGAAACAGATGCAGTGCTCTTTGCCTCTGTCCTTCTGGGATCCTTACACCCTGGGACCCAAGGCAGCACCCAACATGCAGAGCGCTCCATTAATGTTTGCTAAGTGAACTGCTGAAGCAGGAGGAGATTCTCCTCTAAGCCTTTTCCAGCCTGGCACAACCTAAACTCCTGACCACAAGAATCCAGCCTATCTCAGAGAGAGGCAGGCAGGAGTAGCCCAGGTATATCTGGGTTGGTGTGTCTTTTCCTTATTGCTAAATTGGATGGATGAGCTAATTATAGTCTGAAGCGTATTTTTTGTCAGTCATTGCACCCCTGGAAGACATAACAAAATATAACCCTAATTTACAGCTGTGATTTAGCATTCCAGGGGTGGAGGTAGGTCAAAGGAAGAGAACTATCTATTTTTATATCAACAACTTAGGGCTTTTCCCCCCATTTTCTACAGTACTGCATTAGATATCACAAATGATCCAGCTGAAATTATAAGCAGTAGTAGTAAAAAGATGAGCGGTGATCATATTTCACAATTGAATTCCTTTATAAAGGTATTTC